CGTTGACCCGTATCCTTATGGAGAAGCTCAACTCACTCCCCTACAACGCGAATGTCGTGTTTGCCGACACAACAACATGTTAAGATACATCAGTTGCAACAGCGGGCAAGTGATGTGTCATACCTGTGGTCTGGAGCTCATAGACTGTACTTGTAGTATGTTGACCTATGACAGCATAGTGACACATGATGACATGCCTATCGCATCTGAGGAGCACATCTTATGGTGATCCTCCTCTTCACTCGAAGAACTTTGTCAACACGTCAGCTGCAACCGTGATCAAGTGATGTGTCATGTCTGTTTCAGGGAGGCCATAGACTGTACGTGTTGAACGGATGGACCTCTCACAGGTGTGAGGGAGGACCACCTCTTATGGGATTGAAGATGGAAGAGCTTGAAGATGGAAGAGGAAAACGTTGTCGCGTTATTGTTGTTGTTGTTGTTGTTGTGGTTGTTGTAGGGACATGCAAAGCACTCCCTCCTCCATTGACTTTTCGTATTTCCATTGTATCGGGTTGTGACTGGTTTTTTTCATGATTAAACAGTGATTGATTGAACTGACTCTTTGTGTCTTGATGGATCTCAACTCCGATAGAGTGCCGAACCGAGGGTAGAGGTTGAGTTGAGATGTCGTTGACGTCGTTTGTCCGTCTGTCTGTCTGTCTGTGCCTCTGTCATGTCAGTGCACACCAAAGTGTAAAATTAAAATAAAAATAGAAAGGCCATGCTTGAAAGATCAGCTGCCTGGTGCCAGTCATTCCAGGACGCATCCATCCCCACACCCCTCCCCGTGTGCCATGTCATGTCATGGATCATGTCATGCATCATGCCGTGTGTCCGTCAACCCAAACACAGGATGACGTCACGTCATGAGGTGAAGGAGGTGTAAGCTAAGGTCATGACCTTCCGTTGAAGGGAGTAGGGTGTAGAGTTTCATAAAAGCAGGCGAACCCTCAGACCTTCTTTCAGTGAAGTCACCGTCATCATGGAGCAAAGACGTTCTATGAATGCCATGTCATCCTCCCGAGATGTCGTCACCGATTCCGAGTGGGTGTCTGAAAAGGCGAGAGAACAAGAAGCGAGAAAACGTCCACTCTTGATGGGCGACACACTCTTGATGGACGACACATGGCGACTCCGTGACATTCTGGAGGGACCTTTTCCTTCTTACACCTTGTGTCATCCTTCTCACCCCCACTATGATTCATTTCAAGAACGTCTGAGGTCTTTTCAAACGTGGCCTCAACAGATGACCCAGACCCCTTATGACATGGCCATGGCTGGCTTTTTCTATCCAGGACGAGGTGACTGTGTGACCTGTTATTGCTGCGGTGTGGCACTCCGCCAATGGGAAGCCACAGACCAACCCTGGAAAGAACATCTGAAGCACACCAAAGTCCCCTGCGAGTACTTGTGCGTGTTTTGTCCTGATGGAGAAGTGAACGAAAAATACAGACGTTTGGTGTCCCAAGAAGCACGGAAACGAAGAGTCGAGTGTCTTGTTCACCCCAAGTGACAAAGTTTCTTTATTTTTTCAAAGTGGTCAGACGTTCCTACCTGCGTGGTCACCCCTTCGTGTTCACAAAATCACAGGGATGTCCCCCCTCATCCTGTGACTTTTGTTTTGTGGTGTTGGTTCATGTGATCAGGGGGATTAAATTTGTTTTAAAAAGTTGAAGTCGTGTTATGTTGTGTGTAGAATGAAGAAAAAAACAAAACAGGATCGAAATGCACACCCCGATAAAAACCGGATCGAAATCGGACCAAATGGAAGCCTGGGTTGTCGACCAATCAGAGACCGCGCACGGACCAAGCGGGGCTCTGATTGGCCGAACCGGGGTTGTGCTTTCTCTCCCATGGTAAAATCCATTTCCTATGGAAAAGAAACACAGGGGTCGGTCCGTTTTGGAAAACCGAGGTGCGGGCACGGCCCCAGAACGAACCAATCGGGGACGCTGCCTGGGGAACCAATCAGGAAGCAGGGTGTCAGTGGCTCTGCTATAAAAACAAAACAAGAGCGAAGCCACTCACAAACACTGCATTCTATGAAACCCATCATGCCAGCTAGATACAGTTGTATGAAGTGCCAGACCGACAGTCACAGTTACCTGTACTGCCCTGAAGTGACATGCCTCGAGTGTCACGATCAAGGTCACCGTCACTATGTCTGTCCGAAGATGAGCAGTCAAGAGAAGCAGGAGAAGCAGTACCAGGGCCCCTGTTACAACTGTGAAGCCGTGGGTCATTTCGCTGCAGATTGCCCAGAACCCAGTCGAAAGAAGACTCCCCATCGCCTGGACCGCTGTTACAACTGTCGAGCCCTGGGTCATTTCGCTGCAGATTGCCCAGAACCCAGTCGAAAGAAAACGTTAGCAACACCATCCACGTCGACACCCGTGGCATCCGTGGCACCCGTGACACCCGTGACACCCGTGGAACAAGTGCTTCATCTCATCGAAGACATGCATTCCGATGTCCTCGACCTAAAAGAATGCCTCACACAACTCCGTGTAGGCATCACACCTCGTCTAGAGAAAAGAAAACGGAACAGAAGCCCCTCACGAAAACACGTTTCAAAGCGCCAACGACACCTTCCGTCCGAGGATGAGATGGAAGTAGAGAATGGAGAAGTGATATCATCTGAACAAAGTGACTAACGCATGGGTCATGCTGCCCCACTGTTTTTACCCGTTCCCCATCGTTTGCCGTTTTTCCAGCGTTCCAGTGTTCCAGTGTTCCTGCCGTTTCCTGTCGTTTCAAGTTTCCAGTTTGTTTTCCAACGGCCCTTTTCAGGGCCACCCATCTCTCCCGAAAGACAGCTTTTCCTCCTTTGCTTTGACGACCCTCCAGCCCCCACGCTTCCTCCTTTCCTTCCCTCCATCCCTCCCTCCCTCCCTCCCTCCCTCCCCTCCCTCCCTTCACTACCACCACCCCACGTCTATTTTTAGAACAACAACAACCACCACAAAAGATTTTTGACGCGCTTCTTTCAATGTCGATCCTGTTCACCTTGTACGTGCGCTTCTCCGGGTTTTTCCCCCACATCCCTCCTCCCCGGACACGGAAGCGACGCCATCTTGCATGCGCACGCCAACGGACACGGATGCGACGCCATCTTGCAGGCGCGCGCCACCGGAAACGGAAAAGACGCCATCTTGCAGGCGCGCGCAGGTACCCAGCATGCACTGCGCAGGTCACGTGACCGGAAACGGATGTGCCGCCATCTTGGTTCTATAAATCTGAGGGGTTCCAGGCCGATGCTATCAACTACTCCCATATTACACTCGAGGGATTCAAATAGCTTGCACATCGGTTTTTCGAATCATACTTCAATGAACTGAACAAAATGCATAGTCAATGCTTAAATACGTGTATGTGAAGTAACTGCGATGTCAGAATGTCCTCGTTTACATGTGGCCAAGAATCATTCAGAATACACAAATTAATCGCTCATCTGGGGGTCTGCAACAGCTCCAAGCGTTTAGCTCGCTCATCCACAATAGCTGCGCCACTACCGATCGGTTACCTTGCCTAAAGGCAGAAAAGAAATAGAAGAGGCTCGATTCATGAGCCAATGGATTTATGACTATTGATGACTACCTTGGAGCAGACTGGGGATGCTAGGATGTTAGATTGAAGCGACCTCGGCCAGAGATTGGTGCGATTCAAAGCGGCTGAAAGGTTGCGCCCTGTTGTGAGGCGAATCGCTGAGCACAGCTTACAAGCTATTGGCATTTTGCAACTCAGCCGAGAAGTACTTTCTCTCCTTTCTGTTCATCAGCCCATAACCATTATACATTGACGTCATCATTTAGGAAGCTCCAACGTTCATACAGCTAACTCATTCAAAGTGAAATGTTATTCTTATATTTTATATATCACTATATTTTACATCGAAGGATGTAGTTCTGAACACAATTTTAATTAGTACGCGTGACTTCATGTTTAAACTGACACCCTACAACCTCTGTATTACAGAATGAAGTAGTTCCTCAAAACGAGAGGTGATATGAACGTAAGAATGCTTACATTGTTCTTCAGAGACATATTTTGCAGTTTGTTTACAACAATTATAATCCAATAATGTCATCTTTAGATGAGAAAGGTCTCTTACGAACTGCCTCAATTAGTCTGTCACAATTACAGTGCTTCGTAACAAACGTCATATAAAACTAAGACGTGCAATCATTAAAGGTGATTTTAAATATGTGTTAACTTAATACTAAGGTAAAATCAATGATTGCTAGGGACTGTATCTTTCTGCAAGGACAGGGATCGAGTCGATAGTTTGGATGTGCATTGTTTGCGTCGTTCACTGGGATGTTTTGCGAAGATATATGTGAACTCTCTGACTTTGTAGTACAATCATAAGATACAGTATCATATCATTAATTGTTTACCAGAGTTTTTCACTGGTTGAAATAGGCTTGTGAACAGTGACTCATTCTCGTGGCGAATTATTTTTTCATCTGTGAATAGTTCGGTAACAGTAAAAATCATAAAATTTTCATTGCCACACCTATCGGTCCACTCGTTTATAAGAACCGTATTTTCGGAACTCGTAGTTACTTTAGATATTTTAAAGGATATGAATGAAGACCTACCGTCTCCAATTATAAAGTGACATTCTCCTTAAAAGATCTAAAGTAGTTTATATATGCAGATTTGGAGAAAAAGCGTAAAATTATGGTGAAGTGTTGTTTTCACATTCTTACCTTTTAACCGAATTTTGGAAAGTGTAGTAAATTTTGCAAACGTATTCATCAGATACCTAAATGCATGTTTCTTGGAATTGCAACAGCAGTCATCATGGCAAGAACTGAAAGTCTTGGCACTTGATATGATATGTTGAAGGATGAGACCTGTGGAATATTACAATGAGATTTTTCACCAACATAAAACATTAAGCAACTTGATAAAAGTAATGTTTCCTTCAAAACCGAATATCATAGACCACAGACGAAGAAAAATGTTATGTTTTTTCGCCTAATCTGTTCTAGATATGTCACTGCATCTTCATATTTTGCCTGGCTCATCTGACAAACTCAAAAAGTATTTCCTTGACCAACTGTCCCTCCATGTTGAGCTGAACAGGGAAGCCTCCTCCACTGTTTCACCACCAGTCATTGTGATATTCCAGCCTCAAGGCAGACCGAATGATGAATTTGATGGCGTGGTTTTACCTTTCCTTGATAAAGGTAAGATTTGTTGTTAGTGACAATTGAAAATTTAATGAGTGGAGATGGATGCAGATGTAGATAAATTGTTAGTTTGATAACATTAACGTAATTATTATTGGAGCACCTATTTATCTGTTACAAGAGACAACAGATTTTCATTTCAGGTGATCCCAGCTGCAAGGATGTTATTCTCTTCACTGCCCTCGCCACGTCACAGCTCTATGGTCGTGGCTTCACTACAGATTGTGCATCGAGATTTAAGTACATGGACAAGCTCTTTATTACGTCAGGTCATCTTGATACTCAAATTAATAGATCCACATTTACAAAACTTGGAGACATCCTTGTGCAAGAATATGGCTTCAAGGTATGTACGCGTCACAAATCAACTAAGATATGAAAAATTAGAAAGAGGTTGCAGTGTGGTTTTAAATTGAATCTGTCTGTGACTTTGTACCACAAGTGTATTGCAGGAGTTTATTGCTATTAATGCAAGTACAGTCGTGCCCCGCTTATACGGACTTCAAATATCCAAAACCTCGGTTCTCGGACGATTTTCATTCAAAACGAAATAATTACTATATAAATTTACCCGTATATCCGGAAATTCAGTTTCCGGAACCGGGCGGTCATTTTCATACACAAAACACTGAAATGCACACAAAATTGTCTCACTTATCCGGACAATACACTTGCGCTCGTGGTAATCCTTTGATTCGTGAGAAGTCAATTAACCAAGTGACACTGAGTTACGTTTGAGACGAACTTGTTTATTGCACGTACATGCAATCCCTTCGATAAATATGGCGTTTGTGGAGGTCAGAGGTCCGTGTGCGAAATACGCTGCAGTCGGAAAGCGCACGTTAAATCTTCTGTATCAGTCAGTGAGGTGAGAGGTCAAAGTTGTGGAAACGTAAGCGACGCAGTGACAGCACGGTAAAAAAAGGGAAATTTGTCTCTTTAAGGAAAAACACCTGTCAGCAAGTAACTCTTCCAGTAAGAAGCTGGTTTCAGTTATACGGAAATTCGTTTATACGGACGAATTGCAAAATGACGCAAGTGTCTGTCTAAACGAGGCACGACTGTATTTTGTTTATTATTTTAGCAGACTTCGGGTAGTCAATCACAGGAAGAACGAGACCAGGGGTCAATACATCTCGGTGGAGACCAAGGTAAATGTTTCACATATACACACTTTAATATTATGAGAATGTCAACAAGTGTTGTAGGATTGTTTGGACACTGTTCCTTGTGTTATTTGATTGATATATGTATGTCTAATTTTAATATGGAAGGATGATACTTGTCGCATCGTAACTTTACTTTCTTTCAGAGGAGGTAAACAAACATTCTGGTAGCGATCTACGCAAGCACGTAGACGAAGACCTCTCTCCTGGAGGGGATGACATTATAAAAGTGGGTAGTTGCGACTCTCTTGGAGGTGATGCCAACAGACTAGAGAACAACTCTGCTAGACGTAAGTGAACAAACCCAATAATTATGGCAGTAAGGCGATCTGGAAAAGTAACGATCCAAAAGTAACATACCTCCATATGTATATGTTGTCAGTAGTAAGTATCCTGAGACATTTCAGTTTTGAAGAACTGTCTACTTTTGTACATGTTATGTATGCACTGTGAAAACCCCATTAAACCGTCCAGAGTAACGTATTTCCGGAATATCGCAAAATGGGTACAACTTATGGCATGTTTGAATGCATATATATGTCCTCGGGTGTAATTATCCTGAAGGCTCAGTCTCTGAGTATAGATGTGTCACCACATCAAACCTCTCCACTGGGATATTTCAGACAGATTACGGATTATAAAAGAGGAAATGGAGGGGGTGACAACTGACTTGCAACGGGAGGTGGAGAAAAAGTGGAAGTTACTGGTGCAGCTACCTAGGATACTCGAAGCTGTTCTTGAAAAACTGGACCAGGAACCAAAGGTAGCAGAATTCATTATGATATTATACTTTTTTCATCAACCATATATTTTAAAGTGTCAGGCCTTCATATTTCAATTCTTGCATCTAAATTCTGATTTATTAATCGTCATAAGTGAGTACCAAATAAACAGCAATCCTGTGCATAATAATGAAAAGTTCAGAATCAATGAAATAAAAAAGAATATATCTTTAAGAAATATGTTGAACATAAGCATGCTTTCATAAAATGGCTTTTCGCCATTGCATGCTATGTTCAGTAAAGGTATATTAAAAACTCGCTGAGTTTATTAGATGATAACCTTGGGGATGCCAGAAAACTATGAATGTGGGTTCGAATCCCGGTTCGCCCCGATTATGTTTCTAGGTTTGTCAGCACCACAGCCGTGCTCGTGGGTTTTACCAAAGTGGTAAAAGTCTATGGCCTGTATCACTTCAGGCTTTCCTCATGCCTGTGATGTCAAGGAGAATATGGAAACTTTATCACTCTCGGTGATATATCGGTAGGAACTATAAACGAACCACAGAATATTTTAAGAACCTTCCAAAATGCCTTGCTATTATATAAGGTTTGTGTAAGCCTCCTAACAATCTTTTCCTGATACGAGCATTTCGCCTCTCTCTCTACGAAAGTATATATGTTTCTAGCTGTTAAGACAATCTCTAAGATTCTCATCAAGTCTACACCTCCTATGAATATTTAATAGCCTCAGAAAAATAATACTTACATTCCGCATCATACCATGGTTGAGAATTAATCTTACTAAGTTTTAAGTTTCATGCATTCTGCAGCTTCACAGATGGCTTCTGTAAATAGGTCAATACCTACAATAGCATTTGCTAACATAACACAATGATCAAGCACAGAGAAAACATTTTTTGACAATAGGTTGTTCAACTTTGTCATCATCCAGATGGCATAAAGCCAGCGGATTCACAGAGCATGACCATCAAATCCACAATTTAAACTGGCCATGTCCATAGGATGCAGAATTAAGAGAAAAGAGTACTCTATTTTAGAGTAGAAAACATGTATCTTTAACATGCACAAATTAACAGATATGATTTGATGAAGAAACGTATTCTGTCCCAGAATTACTATTACCTCTTGCTCCTGGTTCAGGTTTTGCAGGACCTCATCAAGTATTCTAAGTAGTTTCCCTGGTGGCAACTTGAACTTGGTCTCCACATTCCCTTGCAAAACTGTCGTCCCTTTGTCAATACCTTCCTGCATACTCCGTAACATGTCTGAAACAACCCAGTGGCGAGGTTTTATATAGTGGTGCATCTATATTCAGAAAATGTATCCTCAGGATAATTACTACTGCACATTTAATTGCATGCGACGTGATATTACTTTATCAAACTTGAAATACGTTACTCCGGACGATTACCGCCAGTGTATACTGTAGGTAGGTATTGTTCCTGAACACCTACTTATTTGATGGAGATATAGGTTGCATTTACTTCTCTTGTCCACATGACTGCTGGCATGACAACCGGTAGAGTCTCCTTTGTCCCCTTGGCTGTTGGGAACATTTAAAGAATGGCACAACATGTTTAAAACTTTAGATATCCTTTTCCACTGGCTGGGTTTTCGAATCCAGATGTGCTCACTAAAAACAAATGACTCATGACCTCATACCAGCAGAAGAACATCATTTCCATAACCATTCAAGGATATGTTTATTCTTTCAGCAGACTGCAACAATTGCATTCTAAAATTATCGCATAAAAGAAGCGAACGTAAAATTTCCTTACATTTACTGGAAGAAGTGAGAGTTATCATTACAGATAAAAAGGGGCTTGAAGAATTCAGCTATTACCTTAACTTCTCCAAATTGACAACACAGGCATCCAGAGACAATATGTCTTTGAAAAGCCTATCCTCTTTTTCAAAGTATAAACATTAAACCCTCTTCATCTGGTTATTCCATTTACTAAACAAACAACTTCTTCTAAAGTTTATCAAACAGACTGTTGTAAACAGTTCATGCACCAGTCTCGAACATGAACATGTTGTGAACAATTTAAAAGATATGATTGATAAGACAAAGTATGATATCATGAATCACGTGATTTGTTACCTTTTGTTCCTGTTCCGGATATCTGAGCACCACGTCAAGTATTGTGAGCAGTTCCCCTTGTGGTACTTTCAAGTTGGTCTCCACATACTTTTGCAAATCAGCTGTCATTTTCTGAAATATACCAGCAGAGAGGTTTGATGTAGTGTCGCATCAAAGCTCAGAGACGGCTCTTTCTTAAATATGTATATGCATATAAAATGATATTACTTTGTTCTCATTTTTCGTTATTCTTGCGGATATGGTACCCTGGATGATTACTGCGAGCCTTACTGCCAGTATTAGTAGTGTTTCACAGTTCATCTGTAGTTCATACGAAGGTGACAGGTCTTGTTCCTAAACAGCTCACCTATGTCATTGAGGGTTTGGTGACATCCTGTGTTGGAAGGAAGGCGAATGTTATGTCCTGACTCCTGAAAAAAAGGGAAACTGTACACATACAGTATGATGAGGACAGTAAGGAGTGCATATTACATGTCAAATGCAGACCGAGAAACATGTTTGGTTATAATTTTTCAAGGGGTCTAAGGCCCCTTAATTCGCTGTGCAGAGTTGCGTCTCTTGGGTACGCCTGAAACCTGTGATTGTTTGTTCGAATCTCATTTAACCCTGATCATGTTACCAGGTTTGTCAGCACGATAGCCATACTCGTGGATTTCACCAAAGTAGTAAAAGTCTATGGACTGTATCACTTCAGGCTTTCCTCATGCCTGTGATGTCAAGGAGAATATGGAAACTTTATCACTCTCGGTGAACAATTCTTAGTTAATCACATGCTTCTCTGGAACTTGCAACAACAGAATCCAGCCATGTGTGACCTTGGTGTCACTACATATACAGTTGTGTTACTTCAAGAAGCCATCTCTCACTAACCAGTAACTCTGCGCCGCGTGGTGGTGCATCTCTTGTGGAGTGAGTGAGTGGGTGACCAACAGAAACCAGAGGTTTCCCGCCTCCAGAAGTACTGGTTCTAACACCACTACCTTTGTCCCCACGGCTGTTGGCATCACATTTAGTTGTAATGCCTTTGTAACCTTTGCTGTTGGCATCACTACCAGCAGTGTTGACTTGATCATCTTTTGTGCATTGATTGCATGTCTGTGCGATACCTGAAAGAAAGCAAAAGTATTTTATGAAATAGATGTCATCATTAAAGGATAACATTTGACGGAACAATTGATTATATCATGTTTTTTACGTTAGTGTACTTTAGCACTGCTTGTATGATATAATTAGTGATCCTGGATCAAGCCCCGGCTGTAGAAGCACTATCTTGCTGGCCATATCGTTTCCGAGCAGAGGTGACCAACAAAATGTGAATGATGTTATGAAAAGAAATTGATAGAAACTTACATCTTTCCAGTATCTCTGCAGCCTGAAAAAATACGACAGTGGATCTAGTACTCTTCTCTACACCACACAAGTTTGGTTTCCTTTCTCAATGTTTAGCTGATAAACACTACACAAAACTGTCACAAAAAAGACACAAAACGCATTTCAACAGGTACTATATCTTTTTATATTGTATGTTATAATGGTTTTTAACTAGCACAATTTGCTTGATAAAGAAACATATGCAATCTTATCATGCTTAATTGACACATGCACACTTACTTTATTTAGCTAGCTAGCTCTGCTTGATATTTAGCCAAAAGACAGCTTTTGTTGAAATGTATTCAGACTGATGCAAGACCGTTTCAGTCTCACAGCTAAAATTTCAGATACTGAAAACTTTTTTAACAATTGTAAAGTCAAAGCCAAAGTCAGAAATTGATACTTCTTTATAACAGTGTCCTGTAGCATTTCGAGTGAGTCAGTGAGTTGGGTTTAACGCCGCTTTTAACCGTTTTCCAGTTAAATAGTGGCGTGTCAGCTTAATGTGGGAGTAAAGCCCGAAGTGATGCAGGTCTCAGACGTTAACCACTTTGACGACTGGGCCCCGTGCCCTGTGCGCCCCCCCCCCCCCCCCAAATTGATACGCTTAAGTGTAAAATATCCATGTGCTGATCGGATGATTGCAGAGTCACAAGCACAGTTTCAAGCGGGATAGTCAACTGTGGATAAAGTTTATATTCTACTGTCAATAACACACAGAATATTTTCAAAGAAGGGTACATTAGATGCCTTCTTCGATTTTTAAAAAGGCGTTTGATTTGGTTAATAGATCCGAATTGTGGTCAGTTACACAGAATAAATGTGTCTCTAAAAATGTTGGGCTGTATCCAATCCATCTGCGATTGTGAGTAGTCACGTGTCAAATTAAATAAATCTTACTCAGAAATGTTTGAATGCAATATTTGAGTACACCAAGGCTGTGTTTTCAGCACTTTTTAATTTTCGATATTCATAAATGAACCAGCAGACTAAATTGAATCGGTTTACATTCCTGGTATACAATTACACCAAGAATAAACCCAGCTGTTTCACCAGTTATTTTCTGATGTGAGTTTTAGAAGTGTTGTATACAATTTTTCTGTAAATTTAAAACAAATAAAAAATTGTAGTTTTTAGAAATGGTGGAATGCTTTCAAAACGTGCAAAATGGTATCTCGGGGGTTATTTAATTGATTGTGTATGTTCATATAAATATTTATAAATAATATTCTCACAAAGTTTGTCCTGGCATAAACACGTTCACAACTCTATTGTACAATCAAAAAAGACCCCATTTGCTATCTTAAAATCTTTGTCAAAACTACGACCTATTCCGTGCAATAATTTTTCAAAATCTTTGATTCTCAAGTTATGCCAGTCCTGTATGAATAGCCGAGGTATTCAGAAAGTTCACACTTAAGCGTCTAAATATTTGCTCGGGGTAAATGATATATGAATAAGCCTACAACCAAGTGGACAAAGAAAATTCTACTGGTAGTCGTGCCAACAGCCAAGTAGACAAAGAAACTTCTACTGGTAGTCATGCCAACAGCCAAGTGGACAAAGGAAACTCTACTGGTAGTCATGCCAACAGCCAAGTGGACAGAGGAAATTCTACTGGTAGTCATGCCAACAGTCAAGTGGACAAATGGGATTCTACTGGTAGTCATGCCAACAGCCAAGTGGACAAAGGGAATTCTACTGGTAGTCATGCCAACAGCCAAGTGGTCAAAGGGAGCTCTACTGGTAGTTATGCCAACAGCAAAGTGGACAAAGGGAACTCTACTTGTAGTCATGCCAACAGCCAAATGGACATAGGAAACTCTACTGGTAGTCATGCCAACAGTCAAGTGGACAAATGGGATCCTACTGGTAGTCATGCCAACAAAATTCTCGACAGCTCCACCTCTTCTTGGAGACGATATGCCCAGCAAGATAGAGAATCAACTCGGGATGGATAAAGGTTCACTTAATAAGATCATACAAGCTCTCCTAAAGGGACCGTTCGTGTCAGTAAGATACTTTCCTGATCGTACACTTCCAATCAAATACTAAATTAATAGTGTAATTAACTAAGTATCTTTTTTTTATTATAAATGCATAGCAGGAGTGTCATGTAACAAACCAAAAATAGCACGAGAACTTGTACTCTACGAATAGAGTGTTAAGTACACATTCTGTGTTTGCTGGTCAATTCCAAAATAGCACGAGAACTTGACAACGAGAGAGTGTAATCAAAAATATAACATTCGCTACATTTTGACACTTTCTAAAGGGCATTGTGTATGCAGGGCTTTTCCACTACTACCTTTATTTTCAGTCATATGTGGAAAAGACAAACAAACAATGCACACACGATCATAAAGGCAATTCAATGTGTAGTGATGTAAAGAGACAAGAGGACAAAGGCAACTCTAGTGGAAGTGATGCCAAGAATCAAGGTGACAACATCGCTGGTGTCACAGTCAGACTTCATGGTGGAGATGAACCTGTCGTTTCTCATGATCACACACCCAACACCTCAAGGAGAGATGTGCTACCACTGGGAGCAGAGAGGGAGGTTCGTGTGTGATTGCTGCTTGAAGAAACGTTGCAACTATATATATATATATATATATATATATATATATATATATATGGTGACGCACGGGTCACACAAAGTTTGATCATGTTTTCATCTCCTATGTTAAGCATGTCTTCCCGTGGATAACATATGGGGTATTGTATTCTTCCAGCCATTCTTCAAACAGGCGCTATTTCCTAGTCTGGAGTTATCTTAGCATTTAACATGTTATACATACTCCTTACTGTTATTATAATCTTGCATGTGTGCAGTTCCTGTTTCCCTTTTCTAGGAGTCAGGACGTAACACTTGCTCCCCTCCACATTCTGGACCTGGGTGCGACCCAAATATCGGTAACATGAACAAGAACTTTGAAATCCTAATAAACCTGGGTCTCTGTAATCATATTTCCAGATCACATTGTATAAATGTAAATATTCTCAAAATATATATATCTAAAATACTTACATTAAATGAGAACCAAATAAGTCAAACAGAAAGATGATGTGTCTATAATTCGCGAAAACACATTCAAAGCACATAACCGTAGAGTTTGGGGATCAATTTTTACAGCTTCATCCAAACGCAACTGCCTGTAAAAAAACGTGCAGCACAGGATCCTGCATTTAGGAATGCAGACCCCCCCCCCCCCCCCCCTGCTGAATGGGTATAAAAATCCACATCAACGACTGTTCATACAGTCCTTAAAACGTCATTGGGAGATTACAAGCTGGAGCAACTCAGCAAGAAGTGGCCAACAACACCAACAGAGGACAGACCAAGGTCAGGAAGACAAAGTGTGACAACCCAAGCATTCGCCTACGACACCTCCGAGACCTCACTAGCCCACAGCCACGTCTACAACCACACAGGTACCTGGGGTACGCAGAATATCAGATCAAACGGTACGCAACAGACTGAGGGTGGCAGGACTTTTTGCACAAAGACCTGTTCGACGTCATGTATTGACCCCACGTCATCTGGTGGACCGTCTTCTTTGGTGCCAACCAAGGGTTAGATGGGCACGTGCGTGTCTACAGACGTCGGGGTGAACGTTACGCCCCCAACTGTGTGCAGCAGGTTGTCCCATTTGGCGGCGGGAGTGTCATGGTATGGGTCGGAATTCATCACGGTGGTAGGACACCTCTCGTGCATGTAGCAGGTGCATTGACAGGTGTCCGTTACAGAGACTTGATCCTACAGCCTTACGTTCTTCCTCACGTCAACGTTCATGGCGGACAGTTCCAGCAGGACAACGCTCGACCTCGTATTGCACGTGTTTGTCAGGACTTCAACATCCAGACATTACCTTGGCCAGCCCGGTCACCGGATTTGTCCTCGATTGAGCATCTGTGGGACGAGTTGGATCGATGCGTTCGCAGAAGAAACCACCGCCCCAAACACTTCCGGCGCTTCTTGCATCTATGGGTCGTCGGTGTCAAGCGGTGATTGATGCACGTGGTGGGCATAACCGATACTGACATTTTTTGTACCCCTGTGACAATAACTGTATCGTGTACGTGTGTGTGTCTAGGTGACACGATTAATGTTTTGAATTGATCATTAAAACAGTGTTTCAATTATGGTTTCTGTGTCCTATTTTGAAACAATTGCTAAAGCTCGGAACTTAAAACATTAATTTTACTCGTGACATATTTTCCCTAACCACCCGTACCTCGTTGGTTATTCTATAAATCTGTATCTGTTCAAATGAGTTTTGTGTCTCTTTCCGATAAAACTGGCAAGTGTCTTATGTATTTTAATATTGCATATACAGTTGTCAGTTGACCTTTGGGAATGGAAAGCATGGTTGTGTGTGGGCGCGTAGAATGCCTTTCAGTGTCTTATTATACAAAATATGCTGCTACTCTGTGTGTATTTAAATAAACGTTTTACCAAATCCCAAGATAACTTTTATATATTTTTTAGGCTGCAGGAATGTCAGAGATACCGGGAAGATGTAAGTTTAACCGGAAGTTTTCTAATTAGAGAAGTACCCACAGATATAATGTCAGGAGAAACGAAGTGAACGTATTCGCCCTGATGTTTTCGTATCTACATGATGAGTGTTATGGAAACATTCAATGAATCTTTAAGCTGCATCGTAAGTTAGGAAATCTTACTCTTGAAAATCACTGTGAAAAAAACATGTCACATACGTTTCAAGAAAGATGTACTGACGCGTTTAGTGATGTTCAAACAACGATTATGAGATACTGTAAGCAACCACAATAACATCTGATTCTTTTACAGCGTCATAATGTGTAAGATTTAATACTTACGCCCTAGTAGTCAGTGTGTCTTATGTGCAAAAAGGATGTGATAATGAGTGAAATTCTTGACAGCTCCACCTCTACTCGAAGACGATATGGCCAGCAGGATAGAGAACCAACTGGTGTTGAATACAGGATCACTTCATGAGATCATAGACGCCGTGCTGAAGGTACACATCCCTTTATATGTATTAATGTCGACTACGGATTGCTTTGCTACAGGACGCCATCCTGTGCGGCAATAGTCTACAAACACATACTATTTCTTGCACCACTGGTTTGTCTTTCACGCCCAGTGGAGCCTGTGTAGGCAGATAATCGGGTCTGATATTTCTGTGGGATTGATACATCATTGTAATGCTATCCCTAAAAATTCACATTAAACCTATATTTACCTTTCTTGTTTCAGATAAACAGAACACATAGGAATGAGCTACTTGTTTTTCATAGACTATTTTGTGACATGGGTGAACGGCTGTAGCCACGTGTGAACTGTTTTGTTAATCCTTTCAGTTCGGCCAAAAGAAGAAGAAGTGGTGGCAGTTCTGGTAATCAGATGATGCCTCCACATGAGCAGACTGTGGGAGCTGATGGTGTGGGTGTTGGCCAGAGGAAACACAATCGATGTTTCAGAATCTGCGTTCAAACAATAAACAGAAACAACTAAACCATGTTACCGGCAAACTTTAGAGATTTGTTTTTTGTCAAGTCAGCAAGCTTTCACCATGTCAGACTGAGTAACTGAGTCTGGTATTAGCAAGCAGTCAGATACGAGGCATTGTAACTCATGAAATCAGCTTTGAGCATGGATGCACAGATACTTAAGAAATGAAAAGGATGCAATATTAATCTGCTTGTGTTGCACTTCGTGTTCAAACAGATATTAGATTAAAGGTTGAATTTGATTAAATGTGAGTTTTCAATATTTTGCTAATACTAATGTATTTCTGTGATATGTGCGGGTTCGGTAAAGACAAGAGAAATGTGTAGGATGATTAACTTGCAGCGTTTAGAGGATAAACTGTATATTACTGTTGTTGGCATGTTTCATTGAATTTGGTATATACATACTTTCATACATTATATATATATATATATATATATATATATATATATATATATATATTGACGAGCACGAATATTTTTCTTGTATATATATCAGTCTTGATGTACCCTTTAATCAGTTTTTCATATCAAATAAAACTTAATCCTTCACACGACCACACATTAAAACATCCAGCGCGAGTGTAGATATTACATATACATAAGTCCTATATGTTATACATACATACATGTCCTATATGCTATAAGTTCTATGTCCTATATGCTATAAGTTATATGTCCTATATGCTACAAGTTCTATGTCCTATATGCTATAAGTTCTATGTCCTATATGCTATAAGTTATATGTCGTTTCATACATTATATATATCTCCATGTAAGAAATTAAACTTTTTAATCTCAATTGTGCTTTCATTTTCTTCTTTATAGCTTGTAATCTCTCACATCACCACACATCAAACCAACGCGCACGGGTGTAGAAATTATAACCAAAACATAATCACCCGCTAAACCCACAAATCCGAGAACAACGAATGAGTTCAGTGCATTTAAAAGTCAGACAAATATGTATACACCTCACTGTCTACCATAAAGATCAAGGAGTGAAGACAGTAAGAGAGAACTAGAAACATATCACGGGGTGTCAGCTTAATGTGGGAGGAAAAGCCCCAAGTGATGCAGGTCTTAGACGTTTACGACTTTGGTGAAACCCACGAGAACGGGTATGGTTCTGACAAACCTAGAAACAGAATCGGGGCGAACCGAACACGATCATAGATTTCTGGCGTGCCCACGGGACGCAACTCAGCACAGCGAATTACAGCGCCTTAGACGACTGGGCCACCCGTGTCCCAAATTGTGTTCTGAAGTCAATATAATATTTACTCACTATCCAAACAGCCTTCTGAATTAACTATGGACTATATTAGATACAAACTATGTAATATTTCCATCATAAAGTCTCCCCCATGTTGAGTTCTAGGGAATGGTTATGAAACGTATCCACACACATCTGGCCTTCTAAATGTGTTACATCATATTGTTAAATGTGTGTGTGTGCTGCAATCAGAATCTTTGGCGTGCAATAAAAAGATAGGGGTACATTTTGGTATTTGTATGTTAAACCTCAGGCTTACAAGATGTTATGAATCCTTCATCCTTTCCTGAGTATGCCATGCGGATAATAAGAAACTGATTTCTTACTTAAATGAAATTATAAACGAAAAGTATGCATCAATTATCATTGTGTATTACAAATTATCTGGGATAAGAAATGAGAGGTTAAACAACATGGTAATTGTTGGCTACACGATTCCTCTTGAAGAGAACGGACAGTTTCAGATTTAACCACAAGGTGAAAGTGAGTAAGTGAGTATGGTTTTAAGCTGCGTTTAGCAATATTCCAGCAATATCAATTGGGCTATATTACCGATGTGGGGAATCGAACCCGGGTCTTCTGCGTAAGGAGCCAACGCTTTAATCACTAGGCTTCCCCACCGCTGGACAATTTTGTGTCCCTCTTTATGCATGGATCTTAAATCAAAATGATTAGCCGCTCTCACTGGTTTCTCATATTTCTATTTTGATAAATCAGTGGAAAGGAATGGGCTATTTGACTGTTATTGAACAATATCAGATCACCAATATACCTTGTTATAAGGCACTGTAATTTATTGTTAAACAGTGTTGTAACTGTATTACATTGTTGGGATTCAGAGGAAGCTCGTAACATTATGTTTTGATGCTTCTTAGTTGTCAGAAATGTAGAATATCCATAAAGATCCGGATTAGAATAGATCTTCAGCAACCCATGCTTGCCGTAAAAAGCGACTTTGCTTGCCGTAAAGAGGCAAGTAACCAAATCGGGTTGCCAGGCTCGCTGACTTGGTTGATGCATGCCAATTTCTTTGGTTAAGTAATTATTGCAGTGATGCTTACAAAATATGGTTATGCTATCTAAGGTGTTTCGTTCAAATAAGATATGATATACCTGCAATTCTAAAACCAAATGTTTGTACAAATATTAAAATAACTATTAAATGACTTCCTGCAAATATACACAATAATGTATCTGCTACATTCCTGTTCACTAGGAATATGGTTTTGGTATCGGTGATGTCATTTGCCATGCAGTTGGGTTCGCTCACCCGACGAGACGCGTTCAATACTAGCCAACAGATGTTTGAGACAACAATTATGTAATAAAAAGATCAAAATTCATTCCTTATTTGTAAACTAAGATTATGGCATTAGTTTTGGTGGTATTTGCAGAATCTAAAATAAATTGTCATATGTTGATTCCGTCCAAGTTGACATTGAGGAATTCCCTGAAGTAGCCTTCTATGTTTCCGCTCGATTGACAGCGTAATTAAATGACTTACTGACGTTCATCGGGAAATGAACAACAGTCAGCTTGGTAGTGTTCACCTAGGTGAGGGCATCTGCTACTGTCGATATAAACTCATGGTGTATTTTGAATTTAATGTATCATTAGGGCCCTGGTGTTTGTGTTGAAAAGAACACGTCAACGTATTGGGCATTTGTGTGTTTCCTTAGTCTCATAGCATGTCAGGAATTTGATACATATAATCGTGTCACGGGTCACATTGCCTCTATGCACGGTCAACATACGAAACTGGAGACAACAGAGACGGTGAGCACTGAGTTTGTCGCCTGTACTTGTTTTTGCTTAATACATCTAACAATGTTGCTTAGGAACCAGGGTGGCGTGAGGGAGGTCGAGGTAACTAGGAATAATGCTGGCATCAAAGTGTTGGTGCTGAACTTCCATGATGCATCATCTAACAACCAGTGGTGCACACAGCGTGTTTTACTTGCAGTGTTGACGTCATGAAGTAAGCCTGGCACTGAAACGATGATCATGTGAATTAAAATTCTCCTTCTGTTCTAACTGAAACTGATAGGCATTTAAGATGGTCGAATACTCGTCTCGCATAATAATTAAATTAAACGTAAACTATATTTGATACAAACCTTCCTAAAATTGTATAACATGAACAATACATATATTCCATACAAGCAAATATCTCCCAAACAGACTTCTGAATTAAGAATAGAGTATATTTAATACAAATCCTACCCTCTAAAATGTTCTGTATGAAACATTAACTATATCCAATATAACTCCCCCATTTTGCGTTCTGGTGAATGATTATGAATATACAAATATATATACAAACTCTTCATGTAGAACTAACATAAACTATATCAGGTACAACCCTCCCCATGAAGTATCCCGCACTACGTATCACTACTTAGACCCACAGAAATCTGTCCTACTAAATGCCTGAGAGTATATTGTAAAACGAATGTGGGTATGTGCTGGTCGGAGTACAGTGGGAAATTAGAGATAAATTGTGGTAGTTACAGTGTCAATAAAAAGTATACATGCGTTTTGAAATTTACAGGAATCCGATTTTTTTCTGATGCAGATAATATGAAACAATGAAGACTCTCCAGGTCCTTGAGAGGTAAATCAAGATAATAAGGGTTAGTTCAAACATTGTCCTGCAATAGAATTGAATGTCTCAGTTATAATCACAAATGAAATTAGAGTGAGATTTTAGATCAATAATGGTGACGAGCGACGGTGTAATGTTAGTCTGTGTTGACATAAAGCTAAAGGGAAACAACTCTTGCGATTTTCTTGGCTCGATGCTCGACAAGCTACGTTGTGGTACAGGGAATACAGGGAATATGAAACCAGTTACTCAATACATAACACTATCTCGCCCCTTAGCAATATTCCTGCTGCATAATGTCACCCTGCAAATAATCGAGTCAGGTCCAGACAATCCAGTTATTGATATTGTGAACGACAGTCCACATCGCACCTGCTCACAGTACGGAAAAGCGAGGCAGTTGAACAAAGATGGAAACATATACCTGTAACAATTACAGGGTAGTCATTGAATATGAAGTAAAATTCACAAGTAAAGGAAAAGCAGCTTATTGGAATTATTTGTATCTGATTTGTTAGGTGTATGCGTGAAACGTTCTTGTCCATAGTACCCCTGATTCAAGTTTGAATCAAATGTGAAAAATGAATAAATCAGGGTTTGGACTTCTGCGGACAGTCATGTAGGCCGCTCTCGCTGAACTTGATTACCTGTGGTCATATAATACAGAACCACTCGGTAATTCACTCAGGTAACACACAGCACAGATAACACTGTTATGGTTGTCGCTAAGGAACCAGGTTGGTGTGAGTTAGGTTGCGTGACTTAGTAAGGAATAATACTGACGCCAAGGCGTTGAAGCCCAACTTTCAGGTGACACGAAATCACGAAACGAAAAACAAAAAGTTTGGTTAATCCAATGAACTTCAAACAAATTAAATGTATATGATGTTGCGTATCAACCAGCGAAAAACAGTTTTTGGTTTATGTTGTCTCAATGTGTATATGTCAGATATTTGTGAACAACCTTCATGTTCGAGGCGTGAGCTGCTGTAATATTTCAACATTAAGGGAATGTTGACTACCTGCAGTTTCAGCCCTTAGTGTCCCGCCTTTTGAGTTACAACTGAGCATGCCCTTTCTTCCAATAATTCAAAGAGTGGCATATGGCTCTTGCTCAGAGTGAGTGAGTTAGTTGGGTTTATCGCCGTTTTTAACAGTGTTCCAGGTATATCACAGCGTGTCAGCTTATTGTGGGAGGAAAGCCCGAAGTGATGCAGATCTCAGACGTTTACCACTTCGGTGAAACCCACGATCACGCGTACGGGGATGGTGCTGACAAACCTAGAAACATAATCGGGGTGAACCGTGATTCGACAAAACAATCATAGGTTTCTGGTGTGCTCAAGGGACGCACATCTGCACAGCGAATTCTGGCGCCTTAGACGACTGGGCCACCCGTGCCTCTTCTGGCTCGGAAGTTGGTCGATCAAGAAGACAATATTCAAGACATCTGTAAAGATTTCAAAACCATTTATGGTAGACATGTAGGAGACATTTCCAAACTTGACTCATCAGTGACCAAAAAAATATGTCCAATGCAATTCCTTATTTTGAATTGTACTATTGTCTTTCAGTTGTTTTTTCAGGTGAGCAATTGACTAGCCTTTGCATGTGCTTGTGATGGGTGTCACCGGTGGGGAAGGATACGCTCAAGTTTTCGCCAACACCTAGGATAATGATTACATGTTAGTGATTCATAAGTACATGCTCACATTATAGTCGGAATCGTACATGTCTCATGAATAAGCAACGGGTTTGGGCCCTTTTTGAGGTATTTCTGAACAAAACATTGCTAAACATATCGTTGCCATAATCATGTTTTCTAGGTGAATACACATTCCCGATAGCCTAAAGCATCACGTAAGTTATTTACTGCATGTATTGGTC